AAAGATTTAAGAAGCAGATGATGGAATTTTCATTTGATAGGAACTTATAGTGGAAAAAGTAAAGAAAAAAGTGAATATAAGTTGAGCATCCTTACCTGAAATACTTGAGACTAGAAGTATTTCAGACTTTAGAATATTTACATATATATAATTTGGGGGATGGATCTCAAATTTAAACTTGAAAGGCATTCATGTTTCTTTATTTCTTTATCTTTTTAGAATCAAGGTCTCCCTGTAGCTCCAGCTGGTCTGGAATTTACTATGTAGATCAAAGGATATTGCAATTAACCCAAGAGCTGTGTATGATCTAGTCCCTTTTAAAACATTCAGCACTAACCATGTGGGGTTCCGTGTGCGTCAGACATGCATCCACCAGAGACCTCTGTTCTGTTTTCTCCTCAAACTCAGAGATCTGCCTACCTCTGCCTCTGGACTAAAGGCGTGTGCCATCATACCTGGTGCATATACATTTTATATACACAGTCTGAAAGCAATTTTTGTACAATTATATTTTGTATACCTTCACTTTGACTGTACAAGGCACACATGGGTCAGATGTGGAATTTAGCATTTGTGGCATCATGTGATGCCCAAAGTTTCAGATTTTATTTGCAAGCACCTTTACCCCCGAGCCATCTGACCAGCTCAAGTTTCAGCTTTTAGAATCTGAGGAGATGGCTCCGTGGGTAAAGTGCTTGCCATACAAACAGGAGGACCTGATTTCAGATCTTCAGCACCCATGTAAAAGACAGGCAAGGTGGCACTCATCTATATAAACCCTATTGCTGTGGAGTGGGGAGGCATGGATGACCAGCAAGTCTAGCTGAAAAGGCAAGCTCTAGGTTCAACGAGAGCTCCTGTGTTGATAAATAAGGGGGAGGTCAATACAGGAGGATACTGGACATCAACTCCTGGCCTCTCCAAGTATATCCCAGGAGAAAGGGAGGTGGGGAGAACATGCATTTAAGCATGTACAAATAGCAAATACAGATACACTTAAAGCAATTTCAGGCTGGGTGTGGTGGCACACGCCTTTAATCCCAGCACTCAGGAGGCAGAGGCAGGCAGATCCTGTGAGTTTAAGGCCACCCTGGTCTACATAGTGAGTTCCAGAACAGCTGGTGCTATAGGGAGGCCTCCCCCCCCCCAAAAAAAAAACAAAATCAATAAATAAATGTTGCAGATTTTGGAGCACATTAAATTTTGAACTTTGGGATTAATGAGGCTCAACTTGCATTAGCTATAATAACCAATTTTGTCTTATGTACCCCTTTATGATTCATGTTTATACTGGTTTGATTTGAAAAGAGAAACATCTTATACCTGCAATAATTGAGGCGCAAGTAGATGAAATCTCCAATTGGCATTGGGTTCCAAAGTGATAATTTTGATGGAGGAAAGTGGAAAGGTATCATTTTGCTTGAAGAAAACCTTTAAAAAAAATTTAAATTAAAGTACAAGGAAAAACAAATGATAGCAATTTTAAAAGAAACAATTAACTCTCTTGGCTAGGAACAGTGGTATATGCCAAGACCTTGCCCTGGGGAGGCTGAGACTAGGAATTCAAGGTCAGTTTAAAAACAAAACAAAACAAAACAACAAAGGTGAGTGGGGATAAGTGTTGTTAAAGACTTGAATTAGACAAAAAATAACACTGATGCTTCCTCGTAGTTATGTTGAATTTTAAACATAAAACATTTAAAATAATTTCTAATTCATTGCTACTATTGGTTGTTTATTTTTTTCATTTTCCACAGTCCACAGTGCCTTTACAGACCAATCTACAACAATACTTCCGCTTTATTTCTTTTTTTTTCTAATTTTTATTTATTATTTTTATTTTATGTGTATGTGTATATTGCCTGCATGTAGGTAAGTGCACCCATGTCGTGCAATGCCAGAGGAGGTCAGAGAGGCTCTTGGATCCCCTGGAATTGGAGTTAAGGACAACCGTTAGCTGCCACGTGGGTGCTGGGATTCGAACCGGGGTCTTCTGCAAGAACAGTCAGTGTTCTTAACTGCTAAGCCATCTCTCCAGGCCCCCAGGTTTACTTCTTCAACACAATACAGTAAGAGGTATATGAGCTAAAATCCTGGCTATATCACTTACAAACTACATGGCCTTGGATTGACCAATATCTCTAGGCTATATTTTATTCATTAAAAAAAAAAAACATAGCACAAATAACAAAGTATCTCCATTTGCTGTGAAGAATAAATAATAATGTATGCAAAATGCTTAACACAGCACCTAGCGCTCAGCAAGACTTCAATAAATGCTAATTTTATAGTCTTTTATTTATTTTTAAATTTTTATTTTTATGTGTATGAGTGTTCTACATGTATGTAGGTGTATCACATGTGTACAATGCCAGTGGAAGTCAGAAGAGGGTGTTAGATCCCCTAGAACTGGAGTTATAGACAGCTATTAGCTACCATGTGAAAGCTTGGAACCAAACCCAGGTCCTTTTCAAGAGGAGCCAGTGCTTTTAACCACTGAGCCATGTCTCCAGCACCCTCTTTTATTTTCAAGTCTATAGGCAGACTTCAGAGGCAAAAATTTAGAAGCAGAAGCTGAAATTTGTATCCTGAAATGGTACAAAATTTTGTATGCATCTGTGTGGCCCTTTTTTTTTTTTTAAGGGAATGAGATCCATGGCTCTTAGATATTCAAAACGGTTTGTAACTCTCTTTCCAATATATATACACAAATCACAAATGCTGCCGTAAGTGCCAAAGATTACTAAATTACAGTCACTAAGTATAAGAAGCTAGAGTTGAATGAGTGAGAAATAACCAGTTCAAATTATGAGGATGTACCTACAGAATATAAGAAATGAATTTGAGCCATAGTCAATCTAAGAAAACTAAGATACTGAACTTACTACACAACTATACCTTTCAAAGAACCAAAGTTGACAGATTTGAAACAAGAGATAGCAGTGAACACAACAGAAGGGCCAAGGTTAAAGCCGAAAGAACACAACGCCTCCTTGGCTCGTGTTTCCCATTGTCTTTATTAAGAACATCTGGCACAAGGGAGACAACAAAGAATATAAAAGCACTCGTGGGCATAAAGAAGAAAAAGACCCATATGTCAGCATTAATTGCTCTTCTCAAAGAAACACATAACAAGCTGCCTGTTTGACCGTCAATGTAATAACAGACTAAGGAAATCAGGAGACAGTTGGCAAACTCCTCCTTCCTACTCCATATAAACAAGAAAGCTTAAGGAAACATGAGGAAACTCCTGATGTCCAATGTGAAATGATTACCATCAAGACATCAATGTTTAGAAAGAAGGAACCTTGATAATTTTCCATGCCTCTAAGATAAATAATCATCTAATTTTAAGCTTCATGAGTTCAGGTAATTTTTCTCATCAATAAAAAGATGTGTAATTAAAATAAGTGAAAGTAAAAATGGAAATTAATATTTACTAAGTATCTACTATACACTAGTTCCTTTAGTTTAATAACCTTGCTTAATCATTTTACAATGAGAAACTGCGGCTTAGTTGATAAACTTGATTAAGGTATTCCACCTGATTACATGACACAGACAATCCTGATTCTGAAGACTATATTCTTTCTTTTTTTTCCTGTATTCATATGCAAATAAATATAAACAGCTACAATAAAACACTGTGTGACGATATTTCTAAGCCAGGCATGGTGGCCTGTGCCTATGGCCCAGCAGAACTCAAGAAGCTAAGGCAGGAGAATCAAATGAGTGCAAGAGTTCAGACCAGCCTCAGCAAGATAGCAAGACCCTCATTTCAAAAAAACAAATTAGCCAGGCATGGTGGCACATGCCTATATTCCTAGTATTGGGGGCGGGGGCTAAGGCAAGAGAAGTGAATTTGATGCCATATAGCAAGACCCTTTCTCTAAATAAATAAGTAAATAAAATAATAAAATTTTTATACCTGGTATTCATCTGGGACTTTGCAAGAAGAACTATAGGCTCTATATTTGGTGAATGATTTATTCAATTTCAAGTCCTCAGGATCCTACAGAAATAAAGGTCTATTATTGATAAAATCATAGACTAAGAAGAAACATGATTTAACAACATATTAACAAAATTATAGGCAATATTAGGTTAGTTGTATGAAATGCAACTATTGATTAATAAGAGTAAATGCTTGTAAGGCTGGGGATGTAGCTCAGAGGTAGAGCAATTGCCTACCATGTGCAAGGCCCTGGGTTTAAGGCCCAGTACAGAAACAGAAGGAAACATAGAAAAGATTAAATGTTCATAGAGTCTGCTGATCATTTATCATTTTCATATTTCAGAAGCATTTTTACTTAGCATATTTACTTTAGCAGCAAAATCTTTCATGAACATATCTATTCATGAAAGCAAGCATAATTTGTCCAAAATCTTGGTATCAAGTTCAATTCAGTGAAATAGTTAATATGAAATTTTTACAAAAGCCTCATAATCCTTAGAAACCCACTCCCCCCACACACAGAGAAAAATTTACAAGTAAATATTTATTGTGCCTTTAATAAAGTCATCAAATAATTTTCAGTCTATAGCCCCGGCTGGCCTAGAACTCACTATGCAGACCAGGCTGGCCTCAAGCTCACAGAGATCTGCCTCCCTCTGCCTCCCAAGTGCTGGAATTAAAGGCGTGCGCCATCACACCCGGCAAGAATTTTCAATCTTGTAGCAATGGAAAAGGAATTATCTGTCCCTACAACCTGACTTGCAGTCTCCTCAGGCTCTCACTGTGTGCACACCCATCTGCATGGCCAACCTTCAGTTTCCACCTCTCTTCTGAGTGTCAAATCCACATTTCTAGCTGCCCACTGAATAGTTTCACTTAATATTACTGAAGCAAAATACAGATCTTATAGTCCTATCTTTACAGGTCAGTATTTACTATACATTTTTTAAAGTCTTAGAAGTTTTTATCTTCTGTGCATGGCTTCAATTATAACAAACAGGAATTGTCTGGGGTGGACAAGATGGCTCAGCACGTAAAGCTCTTGCTGTGCAAGGCTGATGACCTGAGTTCAATCCCCAGAACCCAAGGAAAGTTGTTCTCTGACTTCCATACACACTGTGGCACATGCATGCAAACTTGCACATATCACATTCTCTCTCTCTCTCTCTCTCTCTCTCTCTCTCTCTCTCTCTCTCTCTCATAAAAAACTTAGGGTAACCAAGATGGCTCAGAGGATAAAGGAGCTTGTCACCAAGCTAACAACCTGAGTTCCATCCTGGGGACCTCCAAAGTGGGAGATCTGACTCCTGCAAGCTATCCTCTGAGCTCCATGGGCATATTGTGGCAAGCATGCTTACACACCCACACGCAAAAAAGAAATATACTGGTAATTTTCTTAAAGGAATTGTCTGAAACAGGACAAAGGATTACTAACGCAGATGCAAGCCTTTAGATGTGACTTTTTCCATAAAATGTAACGTTGAAATATTTGAAAGAGTAAGTCATATCAAACAGACCCTTTAAAGGTGACTAAGAAGTCCCTCTTATAAATATCTGGACTTTTTGCAATATAGGCTTTCAACTCAACAGGCCTTCTCCAGCACTCAGTTGTTATGGGAACAGTAGTCAGACTGATTACCTCCACAAAGTACATAAAGTGCCATTTTCCTTCATTCATCTCTTCTCTCATGCACCAGGGTGAAAAGGTAGACAATACTGATCTATTTCTCATTTTGAAACAATTTAAAGTAGTTTATCTTGACACTATGACTCAAAGCCAACGACCCAAACTATATAAAAACCTACACCTACATCAGGTGTTATGGCCCATGCCTTTAATCTTAGGGACAGGTATGAGTTGGAGGCCAGACTGGGCTAAATAGTGAGCTCCAGGTCAGCCAAGACTAGGACTATAGGTGAGACCCTTGCCTCAAAAAAAAAAAAAAAAAAAAAAAAAAAAAAGGCAACAAAAACACAAAAAAGCCCTATAGCTAACAAAAATACCTTCCTCAGATAATGTCATGATCGTGTAACAAACGAGAACTATCAAGGCATCCTCACCTCTTCTCCTTCCTTCCCCCACATAAAGTTCTCTATCCATCCCACCACCTTAGCTGACTTCAGCCCTTACAAGATTTACTGAAAAGTCCCTTCAGTTCATATTTATATCACTTCTGTACAAATAAAAGTTTTTCTCCTGCTTAAAAAGTCGGTGATTTGGGGGCTGGAGAGATGGCTCAGCGGTTAAGAGCACTGACTGCTCTTGCAGAGGACCTAGGTTCGATTCCCAGCACCCACATGGCGGCTGCAAACCGACCTTAACTCCAGTTCCAGGGGAATCCGAAGCCCTCTTCTGACCTCCGCGGCTTTGCATGACACGGGTGCACTCACATACATGCAGGCAATACACTCATGCACATAAAATAATAATTTTTTAAAAGTCGGTGGTTTTTTCCTTCATATACATAATAAAAGACCTTCACAATTAGACTCTACCCTAACAACATTCCAGTCATTCATTCTCCATCCCAAACTCAGTGATCCACAGTCCTTCGGTTCCAGCGTCTCCACAAGCTCTCCGGCCCCTTTTCTTCGGAAGTCCTAATAACCTCCCACCATCCAACCTCCAACTCGAAAGCCACTTCCTCTGTGAAACCTCCCACAGTGACATCTACCGCCTTTGTGTTCACACATTGTATGCTCACACCTCGCAGCTGACAGTACAGCACCGCTTACAAACTGATCCCCAGTACTACAGCATCAAGGGCTAGACAGGGTAAGGAATGCGAGAGCGAGAAGTCTGGATTTCAGTCCCCAAGAAATTCCACATTAAAAGCCACTTCAGTGGCAAGAGCAGCTGCAAATCTTTTAAACACTCTTTAGCATGAACAAGCGCGGTTCCCTGGTCTACTTCAGTCCCCCGCAGCCCGGTGCGGCTGTGATCACCGCCCCAGGCTGGCACACACCACCCCTCCCAGGCGCTGGTTACTCACCTGGCCTCCCCGGGCCCCGCCGCCGCCTCGGGGGATCCAGGAGCACCGAGTCCCACGGTTGCTACGCCAGGCTGCGGTCTGTTTGTCCGGCACACACGAGAGGGCTCCCAGGGGCGACCGGGCAGACGGCCACGCCTCCGGGACGTTGGGGTCGCGGGAACCGAGGCGCCAAGCGCCGGCTGGAGGAAACCGTAGGGCGCGCCGCGCCTTCTGATTGGCCAAAAGCCTGGCCAGTCTCATGGCAGAGGCGATACTAGGACCGTCACGCAGGATCGCCAGGGCGTGCTGCTGCAACAGCCAATCCGAGTCCTGCGTGGATTCGCGCTCCACCAATCCCAAGGGTCTTTGGAGAACCCTGGGCGTCACCCAAGCGCCGGGTTCAGTATGGCAAGGATTTAAACCTTCATTTCGTCAACGGTTAAGTTCCGGGGTAGGGTGGGTCGGGCACGCGCAGTAAAACCCCTGGGACTAGCCTCAGAACGGGCCCGTGCTAGTTGCGCTCTTCGTGGCCTGGCCGCCCGCATCCGGGCTTCGGAAGAGCAGTTCTCTGCCAGGCCTGTTGGTTCCTCCCCTGCGATCTCTGCGCTCTCCCCAGGCAGGTGGTGAGACCGGACGATCGCCGCGGGTTGGAGTTAAGCCTGTACTGCATAGAAACAAAGACTGGGTTATGGTGGCTCACGGCTGTAATCCCGGCCCTCAGGAGGTGGAAGCTGAGAATCGGTTCAAGGTCACGCTCAGCTACATAACGAGTTCTAGGGTAACCTAAGCTACGTAAGACCCCGACTTGGGGTGAGGCAGTGTTTCCAGATCCTTTAATTAAATGGAAAGACATAGATATTAGGTTTATTCTAATTTATTTCCTAAGTAGAAGCCTCCTGATTTTTGAAAAACTCGTTGAGCAAAGAAGTGTGGCGATTTATACTTAATTACAGTGCTGATATGGGGGGGTGGATTGTGTAAGTATGCACGGGTGTTTTCGGGTGCACTTGCGTTAGCGTGTGGAAGCCCGAGGTCCACGTTGGAGCACTGCAGTTAAAAAACTGGAGAGATGGCTCAGCCGTTAAGAGCACTGACTGCTCTTGTAGAGGACCCGGGTTCGATTCCCAGCACCCACATGGCGGCTATGAACCGTCCTTAACTCCAGTTCCAGGGGAATCCGAAGCCCTCTTCTGACCTCCGTGGCATTGCACGACACAGGTACACTCACGTACATGCAGGCAATACACACTCATAAAATAAAAATAATTTTTTAAAGAAAAAGCTAGAAAGCTTAGCGGTTAAGAGCACTGACTGCTCTTGCAGAGGACTTTGGTTCAGTTCACAGCACCCACATGAAGACTACCCTATATTTCCAGTTCCAGGGGATCTGCCCTCTTCTGACTTTCGTGGTCATTGCATGACAGGGGTGCACTTACATGCAGTCAAAACACAAAACAAATAAATGAACTTCTAAAAAGAAAGTATTCACATTTATCATGTTAGAAAAAAGGCAGCTAATGTGTACTTATGACTGTTAAACTTTTGTAGTTTTTAATTGCGGGGGGCGGGGCTCGTCTTTTTTTTTGAGACAGGGTCTCCCTGTAGCCCCCAGCTGGCCTGGAACTCACTATGTAGAACAGGCTGGCCTTGAACTCATGGAGATCTGCCTGCCTCTGCCTCCCAAGAGGGGAGGGATTAAAGGTGTGTGCCACCACACTTGGCAATTTTCCTTATTTTAACACCCTATATTAGAACATAGATTTCTTTCAATTAATGATCCAATACTGATGCACTATTATATTATTTAATGCATTTAGATTACTTTTTATCTACTGTCTTTTTAAAATACACAAATCTGCTGGACATGCTGGTGCATGCCCTTAATTCCAGCACTCAGAAGGCAGAGGCAGGTGGATCTCTGTGAGTTCAAGGTCTACATAGTGAGTTCTAGGTCAGGTAGGGCTATGGGGGGGCGGGGCGGGGGGGGAATAGGAGCTGGAGAGATGGGTCGTCAGTTAAAAGCATTGGCTACTCTCCCAGAGGACCTGGGTTCAATCTCCCAATGGCTAACAATGTCTGTAACTCCAGTTCCAGGGGATTTAACACCCTTTTCTGACCTCTGCAGGCATTGCAGGACACAGGTGCACTTATATACATACAGGCAATACACTCATACACATAAAATAAAAATAAAAAAATATTCTTTTAAATAAGGGAAATTTGGCAAACGTCTTTAATCCCAGCACTTGGGAGGCAGAGGTAGGCTGATCTTTGTGAGTTCAAGGCCAGCCTGGTCTACATACTGAGTTCCAGGCCAGCTGGGGCCTACAAGGAGACCCTGTCTCAAAAAAAAAAGGGAAATTTGGAGGAAAGCACTGTGTTCTCAGTTTTTCTGTAAATCTAAGCCTGTTTGGGGGGCATTACAGATGCAGCAGCTCAGTGACAGTGTACTTGCGCAAGATGTGCAATGCCCTAAGTTTGATCTTCAGCACCACAAAATAAATATTCTAAAAAGTAAAATCTCTAGGGTTGGAGAGATGGCTCAGCAGTTAAGAGCACTTGCTGCTGTTGCAGAGAACCTGAGTTCAGTTCCCAGCACCCACATTGGGCAGCTCACAGCTGCCTGTAGCTCCAGCTCCAACACATTCTTCTGGCCTCCTTGGGTACCCACCCACACAAACACAGCATACATGTGCATACTCTCTAACACATATACACGTTAAAAAAAATAAAAATCTGTTTAAAAAAAAAAAAAGGACAAAGGAAGAACTGAAACATCTACTAATCTTTTGTTTTGAAACAGAGTCCCCTTATGTAGCCCTGGCTACTGAATAGACCAGGCTGGCCTCAAACACAGAGCTCCACCTGCCTCTGCCTTCTGACTGCTGGACTACTGGGACTAAAGGCATGTGCCACCACACCTGGCCCACATACTAACTGAAATAGCATATCTTCCTTTTTGCTTACTAACAACAAAATTCCAGAAAGATGGGAATTAAACATTTTATTAGCGTTGAACTTCTAAGTAGAATATGCATTCAATGCTATGCGTAAATACTTGTTTTATTTTGAGACCAGTTCCAGGGGATCTGACACACTCTTCTGACCCCGAGGCATTGCACAACATAGATCACTCACATGCAAGAAATACACTCAAAATGAAATAATAAAATATTTAATTATATAGCCAAGAATAACCTTGGCTTACAGATCCCCCTGCCTCCATTTCCCAAGTGTTGAGATTATAGCTATGGGACTCCACAGAGTCCCATGCTGTTCTGAGAATGAACTCAGGGCTGTGTGTATGCTATGTAAGCACTTTGCCAGCTGAGCTATATCACCAGCCCCAATGCATACTTTTGTTCAAAGTGAAAAAATGATTGCCTTTGGCAAACAGCCCAGCTGTTCTTTTACATTTACTTAATTTTCTTCAAAGTACTGGGGAGTGACCAGCCTTGCACATGTTAGATAAGTGCTATATCACTGAGCTCCTTGGTTGGTTTTTGTTTTTTTCTGAGATAGGGTTTTAGTAAGTTGCTGTCACCAAGTTCTCTTAGGATCCCTTGCTCCTGACATGGGTGGACAAACCACATAACACATCTTTATCTGAATTTTGCATAGTTTACACCTTTGGGGGGGGAGGGGAGTGACTTACAAAGAAACAAACACCCGACACCCCACCCGATACCCAGCTCTGTGTGGCTTGGCCCACCATTCCAGATTGCTTTTGCCCACCGTCTACCTCATCTTATGTTGCCACATGCCCACTCACCCCACAGAGTTCCATGAGGGGTCCACAGGGTCTTCACAAGGTCCCCCGGTGCCCCATGGGGTCCAGGGCACGGTGGCTTGCCTGCCCCCTGTTCCCTGCTTCCCAGAATGGTGCCAAATCCTTTTGTTCCAATCACTCCCCACCCCAGGGTGCCCTGTGCTAGCCCTTCAGAAGTCAGGAAGGGATAAATAATTTTTGGGCAACACTCCACCCCTTTCCTCGGCTCTAACAATCTTTCTGCCAATCTTCCGCAGGGGTCCCTGAGCCTTGGAGAGGGTGACAGATGTAGGGTGATTGCTCTTGTATCGTGGTAAGATAGTGACTTCTTGAGCCTCCCCATTATTCGTCTTCAAGACGTGGCCATTGATCTATCTCAGTGTCTTTCTACTCTAAAGACAAATGGAAGGAAGTAGACACATCTAAACAAACATGAATGTAAATACAAATGCCTAGAGGATATTGCAGTAGGTGTACTATATTCATTAAACAGTATACTTGTGATGGCTTTCCCCCTACGGCCTGTAGCCTTTCTCAACACAGGGGGGTTGGCCTGGTCTACAGCACCAGATGTGTGTTCCACCCCTAAGAGTGATCCTTATCCAATTAGAAATTTGTCAGTTGTACGTATGTTAGTTGAGCCATTATTGCACTTTCAGACATTGCTTGGCGTGTCCATAGTGTGCAGCATGCAGGGTCCATTTTTGAGTAGAATCATAGGGGATCCTTCCTTCCCCAACCATCTGCATAGTGCCTTCTGGTACTATAAATGTCATCCATTCAGTGGCCTGGAGTTTTTGGCTTAGTCTCAGCTCCATCTTTTCTTTTCCTCCCATGCTCATGGCATGCAGTGTCTTCAGCAACATGGCCTTGCCAACCTTTTCAGTGTAGAACCGACTTTAATGGCAATAGCCTTGCTGAATTTGAGGACCTCTAGGATCTCTCACTGACCAACAGCTCATGGGGGTGGGGGGGAACCCACCCCTGGAACTGTAGATTTTCTTAACAGTTGTATAGTTTGGGAGCCTCTGTTTTTATCTTATGCAACCATAAAACTCCCAAGAATCTTACAGCTATAGCTGGCCTTTGTTTTTTCAGGTATCTTCCAAATGGGTTTCACATCTGTAAAACACTTGAAGGAAGGTAAACATCATATATTAAATCAATCATAGACAAGGTCTAACAGCATGGAAAGGTTTTATCCATTCATATTAACTGTTTTCTCCATAGATCCTTGTTAGGTACCATAGCATGGGTATGAGGCCTTAATTTGATTAGTTCTTTACGATTTTTAGTTATCCCTTTGGAGTCATTTTGCACTTGGGGGATTTTACATGGTGTCTCTTTGCAGTCTTTTATTCTTGATACACTTACAGGTGTTGGTTCCAGTTGCCTGACCCTGCACTGGGCTAAGGAAGCAGGGGCTTCTCCTGTCCCCACTGC